CGTAATTCGACCCTCCTCAGATTGCAATTATTTCCTTCGTCTCATATTCTCCAAGAGGTATATATGCTGATGCAAACCTTTCCATCTAATTCATCTCAATGTCATTTTATTTTATAAGAATGGGAGTTGGCACAACGTTTTTCGTGCCTCATGCCTCAATCCAGACAATAAAATATAATGCTAATGTAAAGTTTCTTTATATTTTGAAATAAAAACTCAAAATATTAGCTGGCATCTGGAAAAAGTATCGTCTCATATTTAATCGACCGCATTTAAATATGAAACAGTTATATATATATATATATATATATATATATATGCTGAACTAAATAATTCCATAGACATTTTTCGCGCCAATCAATCTTGCCAGAAGATTAATTTATCGGAAACGGATCTGTTATTAAGTTTCATATCTGTCATTTTTTCGTATTTAGTGCTGAGACTGAATTGATGATTGAGACTTTTTGAAATTAAAGCAACTATGGGGGGGGGGGTTAATTAGCCTACATTCCGCCTTTCCTATTGAATGGCACTTTATTCGATACATTTTATAATTATTAGATAGTGGAGGGATAATTTTTGCAAGTTATTGAAAAAAATTTGTGGATTTACAATTTATCGCTTTTTAATATATTTTTTTAAATACTAATTCAGAGAGGTTTGATAGAAGAAAAGTGTAATCTCAAACTATTTAAGCCCAAGTAAACTGAGTAGTGTTGTTTTATTTTGTATTCTAATACTGAGGAGGGACTTAAAACTAAACTGAAATTTGTCGATTTTTACAAGTGAATGCTCACTATTGACATGAATTAACTTAACACTCGTTGAGTGAGTTTTTGGTGGATGAAATAGAATGTTGAATAAGTGGCATTGTTTTGACATATATGATTAATTCTTTTTAAAAATTATATGATTCTGTGGAGTACACAACGCTACCAGGGCTGAGCAAGTAAATCTCATACGTATTTGAAGAGCCTGGAGCATGCACCCTTCGGCTGATACTATGTGCGGAGCAAGTGCGGTCTTGAGTGCTCAGACCTTTTAGCCAACCAAAAATCAATATTTACTGCATTGTTAGGGCACCCTTAATGGCATTTTAATGATTAAGCTTTGTGGCAATGACACACAACCAGAATAAGCTGATCTCACACCACACAGTGCGTTTCCTTGACCTTAGTTAGGAGACCTATCCATTAGAGATTGTTGAAATTTAGTCAACATTGGCAATCGGATTGGCCAAGTCGAGGGTGGTGAATTAGAAATAGGCAATGTTTGTAGAGCATTACTATTTTTATCACCATAGAAATAATAAAAGGAAGTAATCATCTTTGATTTTAAGTAAGATATGGCATGTGAAAGTAAAATTGGCAGAACTGTTCACCGCAGAATAAAACCCGAGTCAAGCAAAAGTATACCATGGCTGTATCGATTTGTCCTCTATTTCACAAGGACAAAATTAAATATGCCGCATCCATTTCATCCAAAGCGCTATTTATTTTAATAATTCGTTCCATGAGGGTTCTAAGATATCTGAAGACCAGAGCTTTCTGAGTGATTAGTTTAGGACTTAAATGTAATAATTTATTTATTAAATTTTTAGACACTGAGAAGTCGATGATGAGAATATTAATATCAAAGAATTTTAACACAGCGGAGTTCATTGGAACTTCCTTAGGAGAAATGGGAACAATAAATTACAAAATATATAAAGAAACAAATATTTTCGTTAAGTACAACCACAATTTATCATTGCAGAGGGAATGTTTTTTAAAACTCTAATCTATTTACTTGAATTTGCAGGATGATTAATATATTTAGACTGACTAATCGTAAAAACCTTAATATCCAATTTTAGTGTTCCGATTTGTCGTGAAAATGAGATTTTCTAACTTAATCTAGTTCATGGTAAGTACCACCTGATAAACAACCTCTCCGAATTTATATATATGTTTTAACGGCAATAAATTAACTCGAATTTCTTTTGTCTGATGGGAGAAGGCGAGGGATTTTGCAAGAAAATAAAAATCAATTTTGAAGTTTTCATTCTTTCTCGCACGCACGCACGCACATACACACACACAAAATACTAAAAATCAGCACCACCAACAATGTCGTATACATTCATATTCGATTTGCGTCAAAATTAACTTAGTCACACATTAGGTGGTGGAATATTTAATTACACAAGCTCAGTGAAACTTAATAAAATTTGCTTAATAGCCATATAATAATGAAGTAATTAGTAACAAATCAATGGTAAGTAAAAAATAAATTATTTAGCTCATCTGCAGATTGATCAGAAATAGTCTCTAAGATAAAGCATTCCAAAATTTCGAAAGATTGAATTAATTTTGAAATAATAATAGTAAAAATAAAAAAAACAATCGGATCAGAAGAGGTTGTTAAGGGATCATAAATTTGGTTTCGGCGAGAGCGAAATAGAAGTAGGGTAATACAAGATCGAAGTAGAGGTTTTGTCCATTTATACATTAAGCAATACCTTATAAACTAATGGAACGGTATTGAGCGATGAACGGATCCATTTCTTGACATGGATGCTTCATAGTTATTGCGATTGCTTCGATGATCCTCATATTCGGAATTTAGATAGTGAAGATTCTTTCTACGGACCGCTGCCCGACTATTGTAGTTTCTTCCAGAACTTTCTACCCGCGATCTCGATGGTCGGTGGCGGGAATTCGATCGTCGTGTAAACTCAATATTGTTATATTCCTCTATTCGAGATTTTCTGGAAACCGGTCGATAAACCTCATAATCAGTAGCATCAAAGTTATCAAAAATATCACTTCGCCGTGGTGAACGCCTTGTACCATAAAGATTAGTGTTAAATGCGAAAGGTTGAACTCTAGGTGATCTCGACTCTTCCCTAGCATAGAAGTCTCTCATTGTTGGATTATGGGCAGCTGTTCGATTGAAGTAATGCGAGGCAGACGTTGCACTGACATCACTTTCCTCTGCCATTGGAGTCGACCAGCTGGAACCAGAATTGTTAGCAGTGCGAATACTTTCATTTCTGTAATAACCAACTTCATGAACAGGACTCATCTGTAGTTGGTCAATAACATATCGAAATTTGGTACCAATTATAGCTGTGGGGAATCTGAGAACTCTTACATAGTGCCGACTTCTTGAAGTAGATACAACAATAAAAACAACAGCCGGGTCTTGTTCACAAGGGTAAGTAGCAATAACAGAGTCATATTCAACCTTTTGTTTGACTTTCAATCGGCCCGAGTCCGTGTAGGAACAAAGTGTTAGATAGTGGGAGTAATTATAGACAAAACCCCGAAATTTAGGCTCAGGAAGGCGCATATCCTCATAAAGCGCATTAACGCGGCCTTGTGTGGTGAGGTCATAAGCATCTTGATCTGAAGACTTAGATATATCCGCTGAACTCTTGAAAAAGATAGCCCTCCTTTCTCTATCTATCTCTTCAATGGGTAATGCCATGTTTTATAAATGGAATGATTTGCCACCGCACAATCTTACTATAAACTAAAAATCATATAAGGCACACAAGCACCGCTGTGGTTCCTGATGTACATTGATTGGTTTATCCCTCTTTGAGCCATTCACCTTTTAATTGCTCCAGGGTGGTAGGCAGTGCGGCACATCAACAGCGCAGAACGCCTAAACTCTTCCTTATCAGTTATCTACCATTGGTTCGTTAGAGCATTTCCTTACGATATACTCAAGACTCTGGTTTCATTAATTAAGTTTAGTGTCTATGATTAATTAGTAAAGGAGTGTGGAAATTCGAGTACTTCACACTAACTATAGGACTCTATGAATGATCTAAAGAGTCGAAGCGGATTTTGCAGTCCCTTTATTAAAAGCCACATAAAAGGAAATTCGTAACACATTGTGAATTAAGGAAATTACGAGCTTTGCTATACGTGCGCAGTTAAAGACAAAGTCATTTTATTGGACCAATATGGCTCTAATTAGATTTAAATCTTTAGATCACCTTCCACTGCTGTCAGACCAACGATAATCAAGTATGGTAAAATATTTAAATCGAATTTACCAATAGGCAGAGTGATTGAGCGATAATGGCTGATTTCAATTTAAAAATAATATATCATTTCAATTTTAGTGCTATGCTGATAATAGCAACACGAGTATGATACATAAGATGAGTTTTAAACAGAAATTAGAATTGTACTCCTACATTTGTCTGCAATCTCAAATCACGCTCCTTGCAGGAATTTCGACAGATTGTTTGACAACTTACCAACTTGATACACCGAATATTTAAACTTGGGAGTTCTTTATATGGAGGCATTATTTCAGACGTACCATCAATTAAATTTAGGAATACTGAGCTGGAATCCTTGTAAGGATTTTTGGTTCGGTTGTCTCCAATCATCCCCTCAATGATACCGTTTAAATTGAATCGCGGTCAATAAAAAGTTAGCCATTAAGTGGAAGATGGATCTTCGAGCATAAGAGCGCCACAAAATCCTTTAGTGGGAATTTTTCAAAAAAATTATTTAAATGTTTGTTTTGCTATACCGTTAGCTGTTAATATGGTCGTTTATTTGGTAAGAAGCATGTAAAGTGAGGTCGAAATGATTAAGCTTAGTCGAAGGGTGGCAAATGATAAAGTCTTAGATCTGCAGTTGTTTGAACAGAGGTGCTTTAATGCAAATTTTCCCTTTAATACTTTCTTACAAATGAATAGAGACTCTATATTTCTGTTTAAGTGCAACTTGAAATGTTCCGTAACAAGTTTGTAAAGCTCATTCATTTGAAACGGTAAAGTTGTGAAATAGTTCTCAATGATTAGTTTTCATTAGGAATTGAGGTGATATGGGGCGAAATTCGCACTTTTCAACCACCTATTCGTTAGCTGGATTCCCTAAATGTCTATTAACAATTCCAATACCAACTGTGTGTTTATATTACCAGGTATAATTTCGGCTTAAGTGTGAGCCAAACGTTCAGTTTTCTACCGTACTCATATCGCCACTGTTCTTTTTCAATTAAACAGAGGTGAGCTTCTTCTGTTAGTAAACGTGTATCAACCGCCCCTGCCGCCAGCTTCCACCAACGGAATATCAGCAAACTTACCATTTCCCGTTCAATTTTTAATTAAAGTACCATCCATACTAAATCAATTATCTTCTTTCCCAAAGCAGCTTTAGGTGGATTAGGTGGCTCTAGCATCAATAAAGCGAAAAAACGTACATGGGCATCAATAGGTACAAAATTTCCGTTTTAGGTTACGGGCACGCGTATATCCTCATGCATTGCGGGTAATTATATAAACCTAAGGAGTGTGGGAAAGACTTGCCTCCACGTGGTGCACCCTGGCTAACGTATACTCATACGGCAAAAACGTCTATGAACCGGCAGTTGGCTTCTGACTTTTAACTACCATGACCCTAATGTGTGCCATATTCCCCCACTTCCACAGCACTCACCTCATCTTACCTTTTTCTCTACCTTTTTGTCTGTCCCTTTTAAACCTGTGAATCACTCTTCTGTTCTCCCCCCCACCCCCCTCGAATTTTTGTGACTTTGATGTTTCTCCCTTCAGTGAAGCCCGAGGTCAACAAAAAGGGTAATGAAAACCATCGTAAAGCTCACCATTTGATGCAAATAATTACAAATCTAATCGAAAAATAAGATTATGGTAATATGAGTTGGAGGGTAAAATATTTTCCCTAGAGATGCTTTATCCCTGGATTTTCTGGGGTCACGCTGACAGTTTCCCATCCCGTCACAGTCAGGTAAAAAGAGAAAAAAATTGAAAGATTTTAGCTGTGGCAAGAAAAATATAACGGGTTTTCTTGAGCTTTGAGAATGCATCGAACAATTCAATTTAATTATACCGCAATAATCTTTTTACGTACTGTCTTTTTACTCTGAAATAGATTTTAAGATTTATTCCAATGTATCTCTCACATTTAAAATTAAGCTGTAATTGAATTACACTGATTAAAGTGATAATTTAAAATACGTGTTGTGGAAGGCGATTTTAATTCGCCACATTCACAGTTTTCATCACTAGAAATGCATTTAACAAAATTGTAGACGGGGGGGGGACAGATTTTAAGCTTTTGGGCTGAAGATACGGGAGTTGATTTTTCACGGAAGTCAAATGAGAGGTCGTAAGGACATGAATAGTCGGGCGCACGAATTAAACAGAATGACAGAATTATATTTGCCCTCAATGGCAACCCTGGAAACCTTTTATATCTAATAGGTGCTAGCAACATGTTTCAAAGTGGCTAAGGAAAGTTGATAACAGGATCTGAACATTATTATTGTATCAAACGACAGGATTTATGATAATCATTAGACCCTTGGTTGACTTCGACCTTCACAAGAGGAAGGAACATATATATGCTTTTGAATAGATAACAATAGCTCATTAGTTGACTTCTGGCTTCCCACTATCTCTGGGTTTCTGTCGTCGCCTTTAGGACTGGACACCGAATAAGGTGGGTTTTCCCCATTTCCTCCTGTAGGTCACGTAGGGGGCATGCTGATTGAGCGTATACTCCTATTCTGTGAATTACCCGGTACGTAGTCTAAACTCTGCAACAGCTTCGACTCTTAGCCAGTCGACTTTGTTGAAGAGTGCCGCTGTCCACTGCTTCTTTGTTGCTCGTGTCTTAAGTTTCTTTGCTTCTTGATGTCTTGAATTCTCTCCTGGTTAAGGTCTTCATTGTGTGGAAGATATTGTTCGGTCTAAACTCTGCAAGTATGTCGGTGCGCTCATTGCTTATAATGTCACAGCGTCCGAGGATCCATTGAAGAACTACTGTTTCGTTTTTTTCTCTGAGTGATTGATACAGATTTTTACATACGTGTATCTCAGCAGTTTTGGGTGCTTTTAATAATCTCAGAACCTATTGATATGCAGTTAGAAGAGGTGATTAAGGAAATCCTTATAAATACAGACCTAAACTTCTTTATTGGTAAAAGATTCGCAGAATTTAGAAGATCGATGCAATATTGGTTTAGTGACAGGATCTGAATAAGTTTATGAACCATTTTAATTGGTTTATTTTCATTTTTAACTAAGTCTTACTGACAATTAAATCAACTGGCAAAAATTAAATGTTTACAAATGCTTCTCTAAAGCATATCCTGTTAGCCATTTAAAAAATAAAGGCTTGATTCAAGTCTATTGGGGCTAAAAGAATTTTTTTGCAGTCGTGAAAGCTCGACTTAATGGCCAATAAGTGGAAAGTACGTAAGAGATCAAAGGGAAAATATATTTGAGGAGAAAATAATTTTAATTGGAGGAGATGCAGACAAGTGCAGACATTTAAATTAAAGCAGCAATTTTTGAACAGTCAACTATTTACTAGAAACTTATTTGCGTTTTTAAAATAGCCAAAGGATTGTGATCTTCGTTATTACGATTGCATTTCTTTTAATGACACTTTTAAACTCCTAATACTATTACATCGAGGAAAAAAGAGGGGTTTATTAGTTAAACATTTTTTTTATTTATTTCAAATAGCGGGTTTAATGATACTTATTATTAGCCCTTTAGCTGACTTCGGACTTCACAGAGGGGGGGGGGACATTCAAGTCACAAAAAGTGGAGATGGAATAGCAGAAGATTGACTTACAGATGTAAAAGAGACAGACAGACACAAAGGCAGAGAAAAGGTAAGATGAGTACTGTGAAAGGGGTCGAATATGACATACAGTGGGGTCATGGTAGATTAAAGGCGGAAGTCAACTGCCAGTTTACAGACATTTTTGTCCCATGAGAATACGTTGCCCAGGGTATACTACATGGAAGTAAGTCTATCGCACACCCCTATTAGCTAAACATGATGATTTAAGAATAGGCAAAATATATATTTCTCATTCTTTTGCTAAATCACTTTAGAGATCTATGAATATGGGCATGGATAATGTCTTACCACTCTATTTTACAGAATCACGCGACCTCAGTTGTAAAATACAAAGATTACGGAATTTTGCTTAACCAATTTAATCCCTGAGAATGATATTGAATTTATTTAAATAAGCCAGTCAAAAAAGCAACGAATGTGGGAACTTTATTCGGAGCGACAAATTAGCCTGATTCTTGGTTTACCGGCTATCTTTTCTGTACTCCCCTTTCATCCCCACTTCATGGTTTATTCTTAATTTGGAAATTTATCATTTTTGCTTGTAGAAATGCTGTCTCCTGAGTTAAATTTACGAAACACCTTATAAAATACTAAAAAAGCGAACTCAACAATACTGAATCTATACTGAATATTCGTGGCTTTTCACTTAATTTTAAGAAAACTATTAACTTTGAATTTCTATTCAATAATAATGTTATGATTACATTTATACCTTCAGTATTTTATGTGAAATCAAAAATCAGTGACTATCGTAATTAAAAAAGATAGCTGTTACTTGTGCTACTGTTCAATTGTGAGTAATATTTAATCATCATTGTCAAAAACCATAATCACCGCGCAATTAATTGCAGACCTACGCACTTGGAAATAATTTTAGACACAGGGACTTAAAATACCCAACGGTGGAAATCTGAAGGGGAGGGGTCATAATTTATATTTAATGAGTGGAGAACAGTCAACTTCTATGTGTTTGGAGCTGGCGGTCGGAATTATTTATCATTTAAAGGACACTCAGATGAATAGCGAAAAAAGCATAACAAAATTTTAAAATACCATCAGTTTTTCAAACACCATGGATCTTTGAAATTTACAAAAAATGTGTAGTTCTAAAGCATGAAATATGGAAAAAGAGGTTGGGAAACGCTTTAATTTCTTCTCAGTAGTTTAATGTCAAGGGTACTCTATAAGCACCAATTTTGTTAATAAAGCCCAAAAATCCTCTCTCACAGGTGATGATCACAGCGTCCTGCCAAGTTAACAAGCACTTGACGAGAAATATGTAGACAATAGCATGAACATAACAACTGTAACTTTATGATTTCCTGTGTAGATAAAGTCGCTGGGAATAAAGACAGCAACGTAGGTCGGAGATTTAAAAGTAATTAGTATGACTTCGTGGCATGCTGGCGTTCATCCATCTATTTTTTAGTAATCATATATTAAAAAACTTAATAAAATTGTAAATAATTAAATTATAACCTCTTCAATTAAAGATAACCCCTTTAATAAGAAAATCTGGCTCACTTTTTACATTAAATTGGACTCTCCTGATCTTATTCTCAGTAGTCCATTTCTTGCTATTGTTGTGATTAACACGTTCCAAATTACAGATCTGAGGTGGAACTTAAGCTCAAATGTTTAGACATCACGATGATCAACGAATAATAGAGAGGGTAATTTAGATATGGCTACTCAGCCTTCAATACGTATAAATATGAATAGGATTAGTTACGCGAGTTCAAAGGAGGTCCCAAAAACTCACCAAAGAACAATAACGCTAGTAAGCTCAAATATGATCCCTACTGCGCTCATAGGATCGACCTTCCTATTGGTCCCACTGAATTGGGGCATATTTTCTTCAGTTTCTTCCAGCAGGGTTGTTCGGTTTACTTCTTATGGTCTTGATGCATTTACAATACTAATAATCTGTCGGTTTTATAAAAGTGAACATTCATATACATTTGGATGATGAATTCTGTGAGTGGTATTTAAGGTAGTTTTATTTATTATTTTAATCAAAGTAGAAAATGTTAACACTCCTTCAGGATATTCATTTAAAGTTTGTAGCGGAGTGCTAAACTAATAAGCCTTGACTTATGGTCAGTTATCCCTATGGCAAGTTTTCATAGTTTCGATTAATTCCCAGAATTAGCTAAGCTAACATAAGGCCATTGGGGAAACAGACGCATTACGTGGGACGAGTTTATTTGGGATATTTGTGTCTCGTCACAGAGCTTGGTCATTACAATAAAATGAATGATTCGTTAAACCAAACAAGGACTACTGATTGGCGATTGATTGGAAGGTTTCTGCGCTCACGACCGCACAAGTTGCTCTACCGCACCATTGAGACTGTCTGAGTGCGCATGAGGTTTCTTTCTTCAGCCATGATAGCGTTGTACACTTCACAAGTTAGTTTCAATTATTTATATCGAATGGCGGGTGTTTTGATAACCATCATTAGCCCTTTGGTTGACTTCAGGCTCCACAGAGGGGAAGGAACATCAGAGTGAAGAAAAGTCGAGAGGGGGGGGGGACAGAAGAGGGTTTCAAAGATGTAAAAGAGTCAGACACAAAGGTAGAAAAAAGGTGAGGTGAGTACTGTGAAAATAATCCAATATGACATGGAATCAGGTCATGATAATTTGAAGTCAGAATTCAACTGTTTATTTATAGACTCTTTTGCCGTATGCCTATACGTTACCCAGTGTGCACCCCGTTTAGGTAAAAATGTGGTTGAATGTCATAATGAATACTGATGAGTCATGCTTAATACACTGACCACTCTAGCCATCAAAGTTATAGAGAAAGTAAACCACGGTGTTGTTGAACTCTCGATTCTGAATTTCCAGAAGCCTTTTGTGGGTTTGGTCTTCAAACAAAGCTTTCTACGGTTGACCTGATACTTTTTTTCTTTAAGAAGTAAATAATAAGCCTGGGAATGGTTTAAGTGACATCCCAGAATACAAAATTAGTAGATATGTGCGATTTTGAACACGCGGTAGTGCTTCATTTAAAAGGTTTAACAACTATTAGATCAAGAAATATTTCGCTAAATGAGACCACATTCAAAGATGGGGTAAATTATAGACAAGGAGGCCGGGGGGGGGGGTTGGCGATTACCAATTATGGAGGTCACTTGATGAACATAATGACCGTTATACAAATATAGACAAGTCCGACTGAATGTTTTTGTCTGGTCAAATATTGCAGATCCAGCGTTAAACTTGTCAAGCAAATTCATATATATATATATATATATATATTCACATTAAATCTTTGATTAAAAGTAAATGAGGTGAAAATATCTAACGATGCATGGAATTTCGGTTCTTGATTTCATATTATTGATATCTGTCAATATAACTTAAAAAATTCAATCTCTAGAGTGAATACTGTTGCCTGCTTTAAGGCAAAATTGGATCATTTTCAACCGACCTGTAATTGTATTTTATTTCTAATCATCTTCCACAAGAACTAATCCTGCAAGTCTGTATGAGATTACAGATTTAATTGCATTAGACGTATGCATATTAAGAATACACAGAAAGATTAAGTTCTAAATAAATCAATAATCAGCAGTCGCGAAAGGAAATATATCTGCTCTGCCATGAATTGGAAATCATGTGAGGACTAAAAAACGCATAGAGTAGCACACATCCATAAATTGAAATCACTAAGCAGAGAGGGTGCATGTCTGATTGGATAAAATTAACCAATAGAAACATTTGCAAGTGCAGGCATTCCAAGCGTAAATTAAAGAAGTGAATCGTTAAGTATGCATGAGATATTCTCATAACGAGATGTCATCGAAGCGAAGCAAGAGTAAAAGCAAAAAGGACAGCGAGGAGCCCGAGATATGTCTCTTCAAAATCCCCATCTCCAAACCCAAGGCCTATAAGAAGAAGGCTGAATTAAAAGACTTCAAAAGTGACAAAGATATGGATATAAAGGTGTTCAATAATGGGATTCAATTCTTTCCTCTGGGGAAAAAGAAACCCAAAACAACGATCGAGTACGCCATGCTTGACGACATCCGAAAAGTTGACGGTTCACCGGAATTATTGCGATTAATGACTAAAACAAAAGACAAAAAGATCTGTTATCAAATTACTGTCACGGATGAAGTGAATCGCAATAAATTTTACGAATATTTGGATGATAAGAAATCACGCGCCAAAAGCCGTGACACTGAGACTGCTAAAGAGTCACCCCTGCCAAGTACTACCGTACCAGAAGATACAGAGGACAAAAACGAGAAAACATTAGTGACGGAAGTAACTCATAAAACATATGAAGATCCTCCAATTAAAAGCCCTGCTTTAACACCATCTGAGTACTCTAGAAATCCAAATTCAGGTAAGAACTACGATTATGGACCTTACATTCAATCGGACTACGGAAATCAATATCCAAAACAAGGGTCGATAATTCGACAAGGAGGAATGAATGGAAGAAACTCTGAGGCCGCTTTCGATAGAAAGAGGCGATCAACTATGTTCAACGTGGAGCATGCTGATGACGATTTGAATAGCTTTAATGATCGGCAACCTCGTGCTATGCGAGGTGGATACCCGCCATGGGGTCCACCATCGTCCTATCATAGCCGAAGCAGAATTTCGGAGGAGCCTGATTACATTGACGATGATTACCAAGATAACTATTCAACCGATTATGATTATGACTACTCAGAGGACTCTAGAGAGACGGTTGTTGTTCGTCCTACAAAACCCCGCTCGTTGACATTCTACACACCTTTTCTAAAAATTCCACAGTCCAGAGTCCCATTTTACTCCTAATGTACCCTGTAATGGCCTTTATCGATTTGCTTTTTTGTTTCAATGCCACCATGTCAAAAGCTTTTCACCATTGATTGCTTTTAAGAAATGTCTATACATCAATAAACACAGGATTGCCTTATACTTGGATTTGGCTTTGGTGGGTGTAAATCGTAAGCAAGTATATAGGTGCTTTCATACTTATTAAATCATAATTTTTTTTTCATGCAAAATTATTCAAAGTCACATATGACTCATGACATTTTTTATTTAAGTAACTTAATAACAAAAGCTATGAGCATCCCGTCAGTAATTGGAATTTCTGCAGAAACAAATTTTTTTATTGCAAATTAGTTTAGAGGGTAAAATTTTGTTTTTGCCACGAACCAATCAATGAAACCAAACTTGGACCTATTACTGGTGGAAATTGAAAAATTTGATGTCAATTCAGTGTAACGGCTATCAAATATTTCAACACTTGTATCCATTGATCACTTTGGCATTATAGAATGTGATTTTTCCTTTTAGGGATCGATTATAACTCATATTAGCAATAAATTCACAAAATAAATGGCAATATTTTTCAGCATTGATTTTATTCGACCTGGATGAATAAATATCTTAATGATCAGCATATTCTCATCTTTTCGACGAATATTTGTTTATAACTAATGCCAGGCGTTTTGATAGTTATTATTAGCATTATAGAAGCGTTTTGATGGTTATCATTAGCCCTTTATTTGACTTCTGGTGGCTTCACAGAGGGGAGGAACATCAAAGTGAGAAAAATTCAAGAGGGGGAACTCACAGAGAGGAGGAACATCAAAGTGAGAAGAATTCAGGAGGGGGGATGGAAGAGTGGTTCACTGATGTAAAAGAAACAGACAGACACAAAGGCTCAGAAAGGGTAATATGAGTACTCAGGTAGGGGTCGAATATGACATACAGTGGGGGTGATGGTTGTTTGAAGTGAGAAGTCAACTGCGGGTTAATAGCCTTTTTGCTGTATGAGTATACGTTGCCCAGGGTGCTCCACGTGGAGGTAAGTCTATCACACACCCCTTTCGATGAGTATTGAATTCACTAACTTCACCTGGTTATTTAAAAATTATATTTCTTGAATACTAATTTTCAGAAAGTTCATAAACTATATTTGAGAGGCTTCGAAATCGGTATTTCTTTTTACTTTTAACAAACGTTCGCAACACAACTAAATTAATAAAAAGGTGAGGATGTACGGGATTGAGCAGACGTGCTGAAAGTTTAATGAAATTGTTACTTCGAGGATGTAAAGTAGAGCAATGATTATAATGCAAGCTTGCCAAGTGATAAATCATGAGATCAAAGCTCTTCAGGACACATCTGCTGATGAGGGTGACCAAGCGTCCTGGTTACTTCTAATTAGCGAAAGGGATGACTAAATGGGGGGTTTTCCACAAAGGCAACATCAGGATACTTCTTCCTACCCAATTCAACGGTATTAAAGTGTATGCAACGACGGCGCTGAAGAGAGTGTTACTTTCTCTCAGTACCTGTTGAGGCATAGGACTACTTGAATTGAATTAAGCGACATGTATGGCGGAGTTAAATTAGACGAATTCAATTTTAATTTATTGTTAAGCTCAATTGAAAGAACAGATTTGATGATAAATTTTTATTAGTCTTTACTCAAAACACTGTACATATTTGTACAAATATGATAAGTCTGATATTTTTTGGCGCTTTTTGCGTTACTAATGATTAGGCTCAACTTTCGAATTTAAACTCTACTTAAGGGTATTCGCTTTGCCTTGAAAAGGCTTAAGCATTAATTACGGGAAAGATTGAACTTTTTGAAGCTGATTAGCTTCTCATATGAAATTTAAAACATGCGAGCTGTTAAAAAGTGTTTTTCATTGAAATATTACACGGGATTTTATTTAGTCCACAAATTATATTTAGGCATTCAATTACAGTTTCTTTCACTTTTTATGAACATCATTATAGAAACCGAAGTTTTCCATTTTGCCTCTTCTACAATTCCAGTGAGACGTCAGCATCTTTACTTTCGAACGTGTGAATTCTGGACTTCCTCTTACAGGCTTTATATGCTTTAGAGATTTATATAAGAAATTAATTTTAAATCACACTTAACAATGAACTAAATAAAACAGTATCTAAATAAGTATGAAAAAAATAAATTTCAATCGATTGTGACAGGATAGTGCGATGAGCACCACTCATGATCTAAGCATTTCTATTTGCCTGTAATATTAAACACGTGCCGAGAATCTTGAGCTGAAGGGAACCTATAATAAGTACAGGAGCATGTTTCATTGTCATTTAACTAGACTATTTTATTGGTTAACAACTGTAATTAACCTTAGTGTAGTCTACCCAAAAATGGGTTAGGAGTGGAGTCACTAGTAAGTGCCAGATGGCATAGCTTGAACCAAATTGAAGATAACGGATTAATCAGTCTATGAAGGCCTTATGGTGAATGCGGTACCTTCAACGCTTCGCTGGTTTTAGTAGCAAGATTCTGCGATTTGACAATCTGCTTCCCTTTACTGGAGAAATATGTTATTTGTGTAGTGGTTTAGACAGTGTGATAGATAATTAAAATAAGGTTGTATTATTAAAGGACAATTCGGAAATTTCTGGAAAAATTGGGGTTGAAAAAGAATTTACCAATATTTAAGTCAGCAAGGACTGCTTAATACAAAATCTTCAAACTTGATTACACTAAAATTTCTGTACCTCAACTATGCAAAATGGCTTGTTTATGAGTTGTGTAAAGCGGTGACGAGAGAAACCAACTCAACTGAAGCATTTCATTCTCACGAAAATGATAATTGAAGAAAGAGATATTGGAGATTATTCAAACTTTTATGGTGATAACTCGATCAACTGTAGATTTTTTTAATTATTTATTTTAAAGCATACTCCAGATGTCTTGCGGGTGTTAGAATATCTTTCAATCAATTCTAAAATATTTCCAGAACATTATGTTGTGTAAAGGGGTGTGCGATAGACTTACCTAAACGTTGTGCACCCTGGGCAACGTATACTCATACGGCAAGAAGTCTATAAACAGGCAGTTGACTTCTGACTTCAAACTACCATCGTCCCACTATATGTCATATCCAACAACTTCCACAATACTCATCTCACCTTTTCTCTACCTTTGTGTATTTCTGTCTGTCTCCTCTACATCTGTGAATCACTCTTTTGTTCTCCCTCTCGAATTTTCTCACTATGATGAACCTTCCCTCTGTGAAGCCCAAAGTCAGCTAAATGGCTAATGATAACTATTCAAAACGTCTGCCATTTGAAATAATAATAATATTGTGTAAATGGGAAAAAATAGGTTCCTTTTAATGCGCGTATGTCATGCTTTTTAATACTATTCCATTTGATACAAGAAAGGAGCGGAAAATGAGTTTCGGGCTGTGTTCCACATATGTAGTGTGACTATTCTAGGCGTTGTTTAGGCTTGAGAAGTATTTCAAGCACACTCAAACTCGTGTAAACTGGAGAGGCTACTTACCCATCGCTACTCACGCGCCTCATTCGGGGGGCCAACTAAGCTGATCCAAATGTAATTAAGAAATGATAACGCAATTACGCATCGCGTTACGCAGACGACAGAACGACAATTCTTATTTCGTGCCAGAACCTACGGGGTGTAACATTTCAAACACCAGAGATAGTTCCAATTAATGTGGTTTAAAGTGTTTTAAGACTGTAAAATAATTGTAGTTAGAAACTAATTTCACATATATAAGATTTTACGGATGATGAAATTAATGGAGTTTAGTTGCAATAATATTTCGTAATAATTTATTTCTACTAACTTAAAGCGTAGGCTAAACACTTTTTAAGAATCAATTCATTTGCAAAATAGTGTTTAAAAGATGAGAATACCTTGCAAACAATTGAAATTTATGAATTTTTAAAACAAGTTGGGAGAGTGAAATAATGGATGTTGAAAAAATCTTTACCAATGTAAAGTAGCATGCAGTTCAAGGGGGGGGGGGCAGACTGATGTTCATTTGCTCAAGTTTGACCAAACAACTCAGTCTCTTAAGATTTTAGTTTCTTGTGCTTCTAGAATTTGCCTTTGGAACCTGCCCCAAAAGGGATGAGTTCAAGGTGAAAAAAAATTAAGTTTTAATTTTAATTTATTTGCAACCATTCAAATTCTTTGCAAAATGACAATTATCTAACTACTGCTTAGCGTTTCAATAGACATTTATTATTGCTTTCAAGTTTTAAGTGGCGTATCCTTCCAGGAATATTATTGACAAAATATTTAATATAATTTAAATACGTTGTGCTGCAGTGAAGGCACTTACAGACAATTGTCATTGGTGAAAGCCAATTTCGCAAAAATTTCCGATGAAATATTCCCTTTCTGATCAGAAAGTGCACCGGCGTCATAAGAACATACTGAGGCCTTTTGTTCTCCACCAAAATGTCATCATGCCTAGAGGAGGGTGTGTCAAGCTTAATGTGAAATCCAAAAAGAAATTTACTACTGCATTTTATGAACGCGCCTTTAATGAATTGAGGAAACTTGAGCAATGAAACACGTGAGTTAATCTATCTTCGAATGATGCAATTTGACCAATGGAAATTAAGCTCAATTTTAAGGGCCCGTCATAGCATTATATCTAGTTTTAACTCATATTCGTAAAGAACTAACAACATGAGAAATCTAATTATTTTATTTTATTATATCAAATGGCAGGCGTTTTTATGGTTATCATTAGCCCTTTAGTCGACCTGACAGAGGGGGGGAGGAACATCAAAGAGAAGATAATCGAGAGGGGGGGGGGAACAGAAGAGTGTTTCAAAGACGAAGTTAGAAAAGGTAGAAAAAAGGTGAGGTGAGTACTGTGAAAGCGGTTGAATATGACATACAGTGGGGTGATGGTAGTTTGAAGTCAGAAATCAACGGCCGGTTAATAGACTGACTAACACTGCGTTGCTTTAGTAAGTACTGTTACTGATTCTGAATTGATTGAAGTGTCTTCTATTGAAATAACATTGATTTTACTTTTGCTTCTTTTTATAATGACCGAAAAATTAAAACTATCGACCGCTACTAAATCGAAAATCCTGAATTAATGATTAAATGTGAAGATTTCGCTCACTAACCCGTAAATCAATCAATTCTTCGACATTTAAACAGTTACGAAGGAGTAATCCTTTTGGATTGCACTTATGGCTTAGCCAACTATCGGTGGGTCTCAAAAAGAACTCAAAAATTGAAGGTAATCAAAACGATTTATGCAATTTTAAATTTCAAACAGCAAGAGGCGGCCTTCACTATATTATTATTCATGTTAAAGAAGAAAAATTTGCAACTTTAACCTTGATAAGACAATATAACTCAGGAAGATATAAAATAGTGTAATGGGCAACGTTAAAAGTAAAATGGGAAGGTGTAACTCACGAATCCTGCGTAGCATTTAGCAATGTGATGAATCTTCATCATTAGAAAGAAGCCACTAGGTTTTCGGAAGAGTTCAGTCCATGATATTATATTCTATTCATTGATTGGTTAATTTGAGATTAGGAACTTTTCATACAAATGGTGATTTCATTCGATCTGATAAGCAAGGGAAACGTAAGCAAAGTCTCACAGGATAATATCTGTGAAGTGGGTCTTTTATGGGAAAAAAATTTGTCAAAAATCATATAGAACTAATTAAAACTAATTTTTCCAACCGGAAGAATCACTTGATTAACTGAAAACGCTTCGAAGGAATTAAAAATTCATCAAAATAAAAGAGTTTTTTTATCAATATCGGACTGCCACCGGATTGTAAAACCGCCTGTTTTCCCTATATAAGAAAATAATGAGGGATTGGAAAAGAATCCTCTATTAACACTCAAGCATATTGGATCAGAGTTGGCTAAGTGGGAAATCTCATAATGCAAGTGATGGACTATGACATACTGTCGGGTCATGGTAGATTGAAGTCAGAAGTCAACTGTCGGTTTATAGACTTTTTTGCTTTGTGAGTATACCTTGCCTATGGTGCAACACGTGGAAGTGAGTCAATTGTACACCCATCACATTTCAAGATAACAATTACGAAAAATATAACCGTTTTTTAACATTAGAATTAATAACTACACATTTGAATCACCTAAACTTTTACCAGAGTCACCGTCTGGATATTTTCGAAATAATGAGATATATTCTTAATTAAATTTATCCAATGAATGAAAAACTTGGTCATATTTTGATCTAATCTAAAAGATTTTACAATCAATATTGTATAGAAAATTATATTTCAAAGCGTTTGCTATCACGTTAGTTTCGAGAATGAGGATTTATTGATTAGTTTGTAGCGGATTGCTACGCTGGTAAAGCCTGACTGACTCAGAAATCTCTATGGCAGATTCTCCAACATCTAGCTGGACTCCCAGAACCAGCTAAGCTATAGCCCAGCTATGGAGGAAACAGACGTACAGCACGGAGAACGTTTATTCAGTAAGTATATTACGGATAAAGTGCACACGCAGGAAGCTTAATTATGATCAGGGATGGCGGATTAGGTTAAACAAACAGAGGTTACTGATTGCTCACTGTTTGTACGGTCTCACAAGTTCAATGGGCACTTCAAATTTAATATGGTCCTGAATATTCGAAAATTTAAAAAATACCATAAATTAGTTAATAACTCAAGAGATTATGCAGATGCGCCTGTGTTGTGTTCATTAAATCCGTAATTAAGTTAAAATAAAGAACTTCATGTTGAAATTCTCGACCAAATGAGTATATATTTTCAAATTCATCAAAAATGTCTTTATTTTTTATTTTACAAATCAAAATTAGTTGCATTAGTAATTTTTACTTTCGGTTTACTTATCTGACTTATTTTATTTACCTTTAAATTTATTAATATTTCCTTTTGAAATAGCTGACGATTTGGCTAAGCAAGATTGTGACTTTTAATTTACTAGATATTTCACTATTTCAATAGCAATTTATTAATCAAAGTCATATGAATCAATTGGAGGTGCAGAATATTGCCAGATTAATCGAAAGACATCTAATTAACTGAAACAGTATACAGAGGAATTATTCATCTACCTGCCAAAAGGTTTTAAGCACTCTATGGAGTGGGTGACATAGTATCAATTCATGTGCAATTATCAGATAACGCGCACACCCTAAACTTGCGTAGCCAATAGAGGGACGGTTCAATTTAAATACACATACTACATCCCAGTCCCGATTTAAAAAAGTGTCAATTTGCAAGATGGCTTCCCAGGTGGTTGAAAGCCAGGTTTTCCCAATTCAACTGGAATGGATCGGTGGAAGGAGCACATTTATTCAAAGTTCATTCTCTCCTCGCAATGCCTACATCTGTCTAGAAGATATGAAAGAACAGCACATTGCTGTACCAGTGGTCATCGAGAAGATGAAAAATCTGGTGGTTTTCCGACAAGATAACAGAATGATGGACAAAGTGTTTGAGATTAAAGATATCGTTCAAATTCATTGTTTCCCAACCGACCCAAATTACGCAATTTTTGAGATCAATGAACATGACGGATCTGCAAGATTTGAAGTGATTAGAGCACCAGAAAATGAATCGTTGAAAGTTCTTCAAGATTTTATTTTCACACCTCACTTCGTCAATCCATCGGCACCTGTTCTACCGGAGCAGAATGCTGAGTCTTCGTCTCCGGTTTCAGATGGATATGAGACCCCGAAGCCAATTCAAACTGTTACTAACGACGGCACTTCTCCGAATTTCCAGGTCACAGATGGTTATGAAGGGATGGAAGTTCAGATTATTGATGAAACAATCAATGAAAGGGTTACTCCAGCATCAAGATCCAAAGATTCCCCCGGTGTCGGGGAAACCAAGGCTGAAATCAGTGTCAAGGAAGTGGACAGATCACGAGAGACTCCATCAACCACTTCCGTGTCTTCTGATACTCTTATAAAGAGCAGACAACCCGAGGATTTTACTGTGGAACTTATTCATGAAAGCCCATTGAGAAATGAAAAGTTGACTCAACAGGAGCCAGAGCAACAACAAAGACCTCTCAAGACAGTGACCATAAAGCAGCGCAAATTTGCCAAATTGGTCACTTTAAAGGAACTTATTACAGAGGAGGGAATTAATACTCAAAACTACTTTGATGATGGCAAATTTTACGTGATCTCTAGGAAGGGTCCAAAAGGGTCATTCCCCAAGTCATTTGGGTTGCAATCCAGTGAATACTCAAAGAACCAACCACAAAATAGGTATGTTGAGGGATAAAGGCAAAAATAGACACTGAACGAATAATTGAAATATTTTTAAATATGACAGTATGTTCACAAATTCTGCATTCGCTTACAGATTTACCCCAATCGATGATCGATATATAAAATTAAATGAATATATCCGTAAAGCCCAAAGAGTAGGGAAGAAATATTAAATCTATTTTAATATATTTCTTTTTATGTAGTATTTAAAGCAAACTTGAATTAAAAAATCGATAAGGAGAGTAAACCTATTCCATCGTCTAAATAAAAGCTCGATAAAACTAGAGGCCACAAAGCTTATAGGCAATAACGCTTATTCGTGCATTTTAATCATCTGTCTGACTAGAAATAGCTTTGAAAAGATGAACTAAAACTTGTTTTTTAAAATTTTAAGCTCAACTCCAAGGACCTGGACTATCACAATTCAAAAATAATTTAGATATGCCATGATAACTATATCCTCTATCATCAATATGAACTTTTAAATCGATTTGTTTGTGCTATTCTCTTAAAAATCTATGTTTTTTAGAGAATTTACAAAAATATACAACTCTTTCACTCAATTTATTTGAATTTTAATGGTGAAATGGCGAAAATTGTAACATCAAAGCGGTTATGCACAAATTTGCTAAGATTTTTCTTTTCTAGAATAGATAAAGAAAAATAAAATAAGATTTAATTAGCATAATTGTGAGTTGCTTAACTTAAAAATTGTCAATTAAAAAAAGTAAGCATGTATTAATTATTAAAATATCTTTGCCAGAATTCAATTTGGTTACAGTTTTCTTATAATTTTGATAGAAATTGCAAACTTGTGGCTGAAGTGCTTGGAAAATAGCCAATTAAAAGTACAAGCACACTAAACAATAAAAAACTGAATTTTAAAAGAGCATAGTAAAGACAATAAATGCGACTCTTAAATATCGATTTTCTATTTGATTTTTTCATTCAGTTAACAATGCATGTTATAGCATAGATGATGAGTAAAAAATTGAGATTTTTGCAGAAATTTAATTAGAGTGATGCATTAATGCTTGTTTCATATTATCAAAAAATTTTATTAACTTCACATTTTTCAATTCTTTCAATTTATTGAGCATAAAATTTAATAAATGCGATTTCAAAATATTTAAAATATATTATCGTACACTGGAAGCCTTTGTGAATTAGCTTGTTCATGAGCTTTTTAAAAGCCCTTTGAGAAGTTTATTCTGATTTCGTCACGTTGAGCAACTTTGTGCTCAAAAATGAAGATTATCAAGTGCTCTAATTGCATTTTTTTAACGAATTCGACCCTGGCCAAGGAAACGTTGTAAAGGATTGTAAGCCCCTGATCGTTATTAATTTCACTGATCAAAAAGCTTCATTGATATGAAATTTGCGATTCAGCACTAAAGATTTTGAAAAATTGTTTCTAAGAGCAGGAAGTGCGAAAATATATACTTCCGAAGCTTATTATTTCAGTTTTGTTGTGCTTACCTTGTGTACACTTGTTTTACTTAGTGTGTGGTCGGTGTCTATCGATTTATTAATCCAGTCATGCAAGTATTCTGTGCATAATATTCCAAATGAACAGTTCAAAAAGATAACAATTACATCATGAAACCTTGAATCTGAAAGATTGAGCTATCAGTTGAATCTGACAATACTATGCATAGGACAATAAAGGTTGTTACCTGTTAATCAGGCTAAAGCGTCAATTTTCGAATTTGTAGAGATTTCGACTTTTAGAAATCGATTTCATAAGTTCATATTGGGTTGGTAAATATATCATTATGATCCACGTAAATCAACTATTCTGTCAGAATTATTTTTTTGCTTTTAATTTTGTATAATTCTTAATGCTGTATATAGTCATTTCAAGATATGATTATATTAAGCTGTATATTTATTTATTTCAAGTGCCAGGCGTTTTCATAGTTATCATTAGCCCTATAGCTGACTTCGGGAGAGGAGAAGGAACATCAAAGTGACGAAAGGTCGAGAAGGGGGACAGAATAATGATTCACAGATGTGAAAGAGACAGGCAGACATAAAGGAAGAGAAAAGGTAAGGTGAGTACTGCGGAAGTAGTCGAATATGACATACAGTGGGGTGATGGTAGTTTGAAGTGAGAAGTCAACTGCCGGTTTATAGACTTATTTTGCCGTATGAGTATACGTTGCCCAGGGTGCTCCACGTGGAGGTAAGTCTATCGCTCACCCCGGTTAAGCTGTATTTAGATTTCCTTTGAGTATAGGAAATAAAATTTAGCTACTCTCTTCTTGAATTTATATACGTCTATTGAGGACCAATTACTTTTATTGTCACAAAACTTGAAGTCTTTG